AGTGCCTAATGGATAAAACGGCCCTGGGTGCCTGGGTCAAGATTTTGTCTCTTCGGCCATTCTTTTTTGACCCAATGTTGAGTCTTGTCACGGCTGTCCCACTCACAAATGAAACATGGGTACTATATAAATTACCCTTGTTGACCAAGAAGTATACAGATAATTTTCAAATCACCGCAAATGGTCCAACTGTGGTGGATATATTTTATTTTGTTCAAGACGAGAGCCAGGTTTTCGTAGCTTTCTTTTAAATATACTGAGTGTTCAACTGGTACTGATGCATACCGGCTCCTATGATGAAGAAGAACAGCTTTGAGGCTTCTTTTTGATGAATCTATAAACAGACTCCACTCATCTTTATTGTAGATGACATTAAATTTGCTCATCAATCCAGGAACATAAGAACAATAGACCAAGTTCTCCTCTTCATTAAAGTACTTAAGAAATTTCTTTTCACACTTCTTGTACCAATAAAAAGATATCCCTTTGGCCAATAAGTTTCTTCTTTCAGTCTGGAGCCTAACAATTCAGTTGCCTCTTTCGAAAGGCCAAGATCTCTAGTCAGATCATTAAGAGACCTGAGAGGAGGGCTGATGTAAACCGGCATAGATAAGGATTCTCGCGACGCTGTTGGTAGAGAGAGATTGTTGCAGAGAGAGGGACGGTGACAAAAAGTAGTAATAGAGGGGTACTTTTGTAGATTCGACCAAAGTAGAGTGCTGGTCAGTCAAGAAGGGAAGAAATTCAAAAACAAAATTTTTTTATGGTAAATGTTCATAAAAATTCCAGTAAAATTGAATTTTTCTAAAAAACGCGACGTGATGGACATTTTTCATTATCCTTTTCCATTTCAGCACCAAACAATACATTAAGTTCAGCTGTCAGACCCCTTGTATTTTTTTCATCGCAGACCTGTGTTATTAATCTCTAATGTAATCTTGAAATTCCAGATAGCTGAAAGAAAATCTGCTTTATTATTACAAATAAATTTAAACCTAATAATTTAACCAATCAAAATATTCTTAAAGTATCAGTTGGAATTAAATTAAACTTAAAATCTCTTCTTTTATCCTATAATCCGATGAAAATTTTTTGGTTATGAAGTTTAATATCAAGATCTAAAAATTCATCTGAATTACTCTTTAATAAATTTAGTTCTTTAGGATATGAATCTTTAATTAAATCAAAATCATTATAATCAAAAATAATTAAATCATCAATAAATCTAAACCCATTTAATAAATTATGTTGAAAAAATTTTTGTTCAAAAATGTAAGAAAATATTAGCAAATGCACTTGAATAACAATTTCCCATTGAGATACCTTTAATTTGTCTGTAAAAACAAATACCATTAAAAAGATAGTTTTCAAAAATGTTTATATTACTTAAATTTATCCAATCTTCCTTATTAATGTCCTCATTACTCATTAAATAATTATCAAAAATTTCAAAACAAATATTCCTTAAATTATTGTATGGTATACTCGTAAATAGATTTTCACAATCACATATCAGAATATTAATATTATTGTAATTCAAATATTTAACAACGTCTTGGTTGTTATTAATAATAAAATGCTTATCATTTGAAATAATTTTATTTAAAATAATGTTTAAATAATTAAAAAATCTTTAACCAAAAACAGAATTATAACAGTCAGTACTGCAAGTAACAAATCTAAATCTGATCAAAAGTTATTAAGGGTGGTCCGTTTTTTATCTCGCGCATTGTACATTATTCCAAATAAATTAATAAAAGAATGTATATATATATCATCATGAATAACTTTTGCTCTAATGATCAGATTTTCCAGAAAGTGACACTTTTAACTGTTCCCCTCAAATACACTCTATAACAAAAAAATCGAATCGTCGCTAAAGACTATACGTCCCCAGTCAGTATCATTCCAGCCATGCACCACTGTAATCTGGCTCGGCAGTGTGAGTAGCAGGTGGCGTAATGGTCGCCGCGAGCGTAGATTTCGCTCTCTCAACCGTCTGTGAATGGTCATGATGGACACTGGTGTTTGGATTGAACGTCTGGTGGTTGATAGAGATAAAGGCGCTGTGACAGCTGCTCGGACAATCACTCTGTCCTTACGCTCTGGTGTAGCCCTAGGTCGACCGCTACCATCCTGACGCTGAACTCTGCCATTTTCCACCCATCCTTGCCAGCATCTTCGACTCAAATGACGAGCGATTCTCCGATTTGTCCAACCGGCCTCTTTCAAACTCTGAAAGTTGCTCGTAATGAGCGCGAATCCTGCAGCGAGGCATTTTTTAAGTTGTTGAAAGGTAATCTGAATCGCAATCAAACCGAAAGTTTCAACAACCGTTGAAGAACTGCTCCTTATTACGTCTCCTGGATGCGCAGTTCCGATGCGCCAGAGATCAAACTATTCGTTCATAGGACACCAAATTTTAATCATTCGCATATCTGTTCAAAACATTCATGCAAAATTTCAAAGCAATCGGACGATTGCTTCTTGATGAGTCGATTTTTTTGTTATAGAGTGTACATAAACTAACTAGAGCAGATAATTGTGGGGATAGTAGTTATCGATAATGTCAACCTTCATCTACGAAAAGATACCCCACCATAGAATTGAGTTAACATGCCTTATATACTAGTAAATTGGAATTATATTTTCGTGGTGGTAGATGCACTACATTACTCCCCCACCAGAATTATATCTGTGATAGAATTTGATGAACGGATACCACTAGTTGATTCATTGCTGTTTTGTCAAATACCTGTATTAAGATCATTGTACTTTTTGAGTGCCGATCGTGAGAGCTGCATAAGTTCATGGCTGTGGACGCTCCTGTGTTGCCTTTAGCAGTCGAGTGTCTACATTGCGTGTGATCGAGACTGAGAAGCAACAGAGTGAGGTCAACGTTACGTCCGGGTACAAGCAAGTCAACTGTTCAATGTGGACCATCCATTAAAGTAGGCATGTTCACAACTTGTCCAGGTCACCAATGTGGGGAGAGTAGTTATCGACCATGTCAACCTTCATCTATGGAAAGGTACCTCATCATAGAATAAGTTAACACGTTTTATATACTAGGGAATTGGAATTGTATTTTTGTAGTGGTAGATACATTACAATAATATTTTTAGTTATGAAATTAGACACAAAAATCTTCTTCCCTTCAAATAAACATATTTTTTTCCATGAGATGACCATCCAGTGGGTAGCTGTTATCAGGAAACATGCTCTTATTAGTTTAGTCAAAAGAAAAGTAGAATAGTTTACCTTTTTGCAAATTTCATCACATCTTTCGAAGGGAATCGAAAATTTTTTGCAACAATCATGCAGTATGGCTTGTGGGTGTGAGTTTGTGTATCATGGTAGATCGTTTTATTTCAATTTGAAAACAAATTTTAAAATCTCATTGTAACTAGATTTATTATTACAGGCATTGAACTCAGCATTATCTTTTTTCTATCCAATTTCAATGTTTGTAACAAATAAAAATTTTCCTTCTTATTTTAGGACTTTTAGATAATATTGTAAACTATGGTATTAAATAGAAACTGAAGCTAAGATACTGTAAGAAATTCTGCGCATTTCAGTAAACTGTGAAATTAAAAATAGTGCAATAATCAGCGTGTAAAATAAAAAAAATTTCTATTATTTAAAGTTACATTAAACAAAAAATCAATTATTATCAGTTATTCATAAACATAAAATCAATAAACTTCAAAAACCTTACATAATCATGATAAAATAGCTAGTTTCTGATAAATATTGCAGAGAAAATAGTGAAAATCATGCATTTTTTTGTAATTTAGAATGACAATCAACACGGCAAAGAAAAAAAATCTCTAGAAAATTAAGCACTTTTTACAAACTCTGAATAATAAAAGCACCTTTAGGAATTTTAAAAAACGTAAATCAAAAATAAGCACCTTTAAGCACTTTTTAAAAATGCTACGCATCTTGATTAGTTATGCACACATTTATTAGAATACAAGTATTTTCAAATTGTAAAAAAAAAACATGACAGTTTATTTTTTATAGCACAATTATAAAACTAAACTAGAAGTTCAGAAACCAGTGACTCAAAAAAAAGATGATGAAAATTTTTTTTTCAAAAAAAAAAATCATTAGTCTAAGATTTAGAATAAATTTATTAATAATAAATATAATACAATATATTAATTTTTAATGAAATAAACATACAATTAACTTTTTAATTCATTTATTTTCTGATTAAAAACTAAATGTTTTGTTAATATATACATTAAAATCGGTTGTGCAATAGAAATCCCTAATAACAAATAAGAGTTTTGTCGACTATTGGCAGAATAATGGTCAGATGTGGTTTTTGGCAGGACAAGGACTCTCAGGGATCGAATCTGGAATAAAAATTCATAATTATAGAAAAATTTAACGTAAATTTTTTTTAATACATACACAATTCAATAGTTAGAGAAAAACACACCAATATATTAGCATATGCAGAAATCTCGTGGCAGAATTTTTTCGAGCTATCTGCGACAAAACTCTTGAGCACTAATATCTTTCTGCAAGATGCTTACAATAAAAACAAACATATATGTTACTAATTTAAAATAATAGAAGCGCTGTGTTTAAAATTTTTTTTTTTTTTAATTGAACATGTAACAGTTTTTTACTCTAATATTATGGGTGATATTCTCGCATTTTGTTGGGGGGGGNTGGGGGGGGGGGGGACCCACAAATTCTTTCTTTCTTAGCACTTTGTAAATAATCATCACAGTAAAAAGAATAAATAAAAATCATGAAATCCATAGTAGTAATTGCCGAAAAAAAGATCGACGACGAAATCATGCTAATTGGACTCCTCAAATGGGACTAGGTATCCTCGCTTCGAGACTAGGTTGTTGTAATAAGTTATATTGTATAAAAAACACCAAGCTTAAAAACTATAGAGAAATCGATAGCAATAAATGCATAAAATTCAATAGGATCATTGCATTAGAAAAGTATATACTCAAATGCACGATTAGAATTTTCCGTATTGTTTGAAACATATAGGGATATTTAAAATCAACATGAAAATCAATATCAATAACTGCAGAAAATACAATCGGAACATTATATTGATTTATGATAATAACGGTGTAAAATGAGAGCACCAAAAAGTGCTTACCTAAAGGCATAATTCAAACATTACGTGTAAACTTCTGAAGAAAAGTAATTATTTTCACTTTTCAAAAGAAAAATCATTCTGCAAGAACTCTGTAACGTTCTGCAACAATGTCGCCGGGTCGCTGGCACAGGGCAATAAGTAATTAAAATTACAGTCTTTGAATTGTACCCACATGAATGTAATTAACAATCCCCGTTTCAGAATCATAGAACGTTACAAAGTTCTTGCAGGAAGATTTTTCTTTTGAGAAGTAAAAAATTTTGGTTTTCCTTTCTGCAGAAATTTACACGTAAAATCTTAAACACTTTTTGATGCCCTCAATTTACCCTGATAGTATTGCAAATCCATGTAATGTTTTGAATGTACTTTTGGCAGTAATTGATATCGATTTTCACATGGTTCTTAAATACCCTTAAATAATTCAGACAATATAAGAAATTGGAATCGTGCATCTGAGTATTTGCTTTTTAAGGCAATGATCCTATTGATTTTTTGGCAGTTATTGCTATTGATTTCCCCATAATTTTAAAAAAGCGACACTTTTTATATAACATTATTTATTACAACAATCTAATCTTGAAACAAAACAAACATTTGAGTAACCCCTTTTTGAAGAGTCTGGTTATTCATGTGATTTCGTACATGTTTTTTTTCTTCGGTAATAAATTACTATTTCATGTTTTTTAATGTGATAATGATTTACAAAGTGTGAAAAAGGAAATATTTAGTGTGTTTCTTCTCTTAACAAAATGCAAGAATATCTCACATAATATTATAATAAAAAAACACAGGGCTTCGTTGATTTAAATTAGCAACATATAAGTTAGTTACAAAAGTATCTTGCAGAAAGATATTAGTGCTAAACAGTTTTGTCGCAGAAAGCTTGAAAAAATTCCGCCACAAGGTTAAGAAAAAACCCCAAATAATTTTCTAGTTATCTGATTGACTGATAGTTATGATTGATTCGTTAATATTCTAAATAAAAATGTTAAAAATAGTAAAATAAGAATACAATGAATTTTTAAAATTACCTATCCAGTGCATAAATATTTGTAACTTAAACGGCAATAAATTTTTTATCTCACAAAAATGAAAAATTTTCATTAAAATTAAGTAATTTAACTACACTACTCTTAAAATTTTTAGCATAAGCCAGTTCCTTTGCCTGTTCATTCAGTAATTCATTTTTAAAGTTTGTTTGTTTTAAATACATATAAATAACATTTATCAATAAATATTGTGGTTTCTAACTTAATAAAATTTGTATTTGACTATTTGAATCATATATGTTCATTAGTAAAGGAATACAGTTCATATTTTAAGATACAAATTATGCCATTAATTCCGTTAATTTGATTTATTAATAAATTTAATATTTTAATTTAATTTATTATGTAATGTAATTAATAAAATTCAGTTTAATTTAGCGAATTTAACTTTATTTAGAATTTTAACTAAAAAAATTGCTTCAAGTATATTTTAAATACAGAAATTAATTTACTGGATCTAATTCTTCGTTTCCCAACTTTTTTTTGGTTCATTACCATTTTTGCAAGTCAAAAAATTTTGCTAAAAATGAAACAAAAAAAAAACATTTCTTTTATATACATTTCACTAACCATGTCTTTAAGTTATTGAAAATAAACCGTTATTGAAATCAATGTTGGAAACCTTTTATACTAACAAACTGATATGTAAAATTTTTAAAAGTTTGCATGAAAATAAAATTACTTAGCAGTTCAAATTAAATACTAAATAAAAGATCATTTTTCTTAAGCATTATAAAAAACGTGAAATAAATACTATCGTTGCTGAATGCAATCAGGTCGATCTGCAATTTAACACTATGTTTTTTTGAACAGCTAATACTGAGTGAAAAATCAAATAAATAAAAAACAAGAGTTATATTTTCGAATAACAAAAGGATATCTGAAGTTAATTTATATTTCTATATAAAATGAATAAAAATTTTAATTTTTCAGAGTTCTTCAATTGTAAATATTAGAAGTTTTTTTCAAATGCACGTTTAATTAATTTAGAGAATATATCAGACTTTTAATTGAAATTTAGGAAAGCCACTGGAGTAAAAAAGATCCTACGATCTGATTCATAAAAAAATCATGGCTCCCTTCTGCCTTAAAATCGTGAAGTTAGTATTACAGTCATTTATTGTCTTGTTTTTAAAAAAATGCCTTTATTTAATTTCAATGACATAATTGTTTTATAAGAAATATTTTAAAATGGGTTAGAAATGATTATAATTCTTTATGAATGACCCTCTAGATATTCCTAACACTTCTCAAATACTCATGTTTTTCTTTGCGGCCCCTTAAAACACTTCATCATCCACTGACAGTACCTACATTAGAAAGTGATAAATGCGATAACATACATCGATTGAAAAAAAATATGATTGCAAACTGCAGGAGGTAACATCATGGATAATTTGGTGAGAGCTTTAATTATGTTTGTGACACATACAGGGCATCTGCTACATTTTAGATTTTTAAATCTATGACTTTTCATGAATAATTCCCAGAATTTTTCATGACTTAACAAAGCTACTATTTTCTCCACAAAAATGCAACAATAAATTTAAAAAAGCATTATAATAACATTAATTAAAATGATAGGTATAACCAAAACTGTTATACTCTGCATCTTCATATTTATAGATTTTAAATTTAAAAAACAGAGTAAAGAAAGAGTTCAAGCAATAAAATAGCTGAAAAAAATACAAAAGCAAATAACTAAATACTGTTAGATATACATACCCTCCAACTGCTACGGAATTTCCGTAGTTTCAGAAATCTTCTTTTCAGACGGTAGCAAAATTAATGTCTTAATATTTAAAAAAAATTAATTTTAGCGTAACTTGTCCACTATTACTTATAAAAGTGCGGGCCATATGGCTAGATTCTTAAGTTCTGATAAAAGTTTTATGAGAGATCCATTTGCTTTAAAAATTTATACTTTGGTTCGCTACCACTAGAAAGAATTATTTTCAAAATCTTCATAAGTTGGAGGGTATGGATATATTATCAGATTATTTAAAGCTGTTTTATTTCTTCTTAAAAGTAAGTGTAATATAAAAAGCCTAAACTATAGTTTTAAATTGATAAAATAAAAAAAATATATAATAAATAAAATAAAAAATTCTAAAATCACAGAATTTAAAAGATAATTTGCTATAGAAATGATGTTCTTTCTTTCATTCTTTGAAAGAACACCATAATTTTTAAAGAACAGGATAAAAAAATTTTATATTTTAATAAAATATGACAACGAGCGGGGATTTTACTACAAATTTAGATATTCGGAACACCGTGAAATTGAAGAGGGGTAAAGTTAATTTAAAAATTAGATTTTTTGGTGACCTAAATCCACGACTTTCCACGATTTCTTTTAAAAAAATAGTTAAAATCATGACAGTTCATGACAAATTTTGTTCAATACCAAAATCCATGACTTTCCAGGTGCACAGATACCCAGCACATAATACTTTTGACACCAATTAAAAGAAGAAAAAGTATATACTTACCAAAAAGAATCCGAGAGATAAAGTCAAGTATCCGAATGCTGCATAAAAGCCCAAAGTCTGAAACATTATGCAAGAAACTAACACTGCAACCATGCTAGGAGAGACAAAAATTGGAAATTCAATTACAATAAAGATAAATTATTCAATGCTACTACAAATATTCAATACTACAAATCTCGTATAGCATATTTCTTACAATTAATAAATATTTTTATTTTTTATTTCATCTTCATAACTTGAAAAACATATGTATATTCCAGAAATGCCAACTGCTCAACAAATATTTTAGAAAATGGTAAAGAACTACAAACTAAAATGTGAAGATTCTTGGCCAATTTCGCCAACCTTTAAAAAGCTTCAACACGGCCTAACTGTTCCAAAGTGGCATATCACATAAGTCTTTGAATTATTTAGTAGTGGTGAGTAAAAACCCTATAAATCAAATTTTCTAAAACAAGAATCATACATTTAAGACTACCACTCGGAATTATTCATTCGCTGCCAGGAGTAAGTTGGCTTCGCTGATATACCCATGTTGGCACACCAACTGCAATTTCTAAGACACTAAACTACTACTGCTTAGTTTTTGTAATTGGGGTCAATTAAAATCACTTGCCATTAAAATGATTATGCATTCCAGTTTATCAGTTTTTCGAGATTTTTTTTTTTTCCTTTCAAAGTTTCTCAATTGCTGATATTTGTTTCTTGCAAAAATTTGGTGATTATTTTAGCATGAATATTGATATTAAAATTTTTCAGTCATATAAAATGAAAAAAAAAAAGAAATATTTTCCAGTTAAATAATTTTCAATAAAATTTACTTCTTATGTATAGTGACCAATCACTGATATGGGTAACCCAGGGTGGCCAGTTTGGAAAAATTTAAATAGGTAGTGGTAACTTTCCTATGAAGTTATTCTGAATTTCCTAAGCTCTAATGTCACATGAATTTTAGGAATCCAGTTTGTCAATTGCAACACAGGTATTTAACTTATAAAAATTTTTTTGTCAACAGTGTACATTTGTTTATACATTTTGCTTCTTCGATGTTTCCTTCTCTTACCAGTTTTTAAATTTTTCTAGAAAGTGGCTAATTTAAGAATCCTTCAGGTTGATCAAAATGGCAGAGAAAAAAATTTCACTTTCAAAAATTTTATAGCTTTTTTACCAAATAGCAGAGAATTTTAGATTTAATTATCTTGCAGAATTTTTTTTTATGCACATCAGTGAAGGTATAAAATTAGTGATTTAAATCATTATTTTAAAAAAAAGTGTTTTTAAAGAGAATTGGAGTAGAAAGTTTAAGTAGTAATAAAATATTTTTTTAAAATTTAAACCAGTTTATAATTTTTTTCTTCACATTTTAATACTAATAAAAAGGAAACTGTATTTTTAGTACATTTACTGTCCGGATTAATGGTGTGAATGAAAGTACAATTTTGATGTGATTTGAAAAATATTAGTTGAATTTTTGAAAAATTTATGAAAGTTGAAAAAACATACTTTTTATAAGATTTAGAGTAGCGAAAACTGCATCATTTGAAACAGATATGACGTAAAAGTAATAATTAATTTTGTCTTTATTGTAATAAGGGCGTCAATAGTAAACATTTATTACATTTATGCTTATTATGTATAAAATATTCTTCCTAAAATTATACAACTAAACATACTTTTGATCAAACTTTAAGAATACTTGATTCTCAATAATTAAATTAGAAAAAAAAAAATCATAAAAAATTATCCAAATCCTTTGTAATTTTTTTTTTTGTATTATGATTAATATACATATAGATCTTTATTTTAATAGTGATGTAAATTTTTTGTTTTTAAGAAACATAAACAATAATCACAAGTGCAGAACTAATAAAAATTGTTTTCAGAATGATACTAAAAGAATAATATATTTAATCATTATATCAAGAAACTGAGATAATTCAAAGATGAAAATTTTATTTAAAATCTTTAATATACGAAAGCTAGACATTGTTTTTTGATTTTGATTCAGACAAACTAAAATATAAATTTGAAAAAAGATAACGATGTGCAATTCTACATAAATAATCCTATAAGTACAGGATAAGAGAATAAAAACCAAGAATACAGAATAAAACCTAAAAGTAATAAATTAATAACTTAAGCCATGTTTCTGGCCAAAGTCACAGCAACAAATGTACCTACACACATGACAAAATTTTGCTACCTATTTATTTTTTACTGTGAAGAAATTAGTCAGAAAATTCTTTCACAGACTATATATTTATTTACAACAAATATTTAAGAGTAATAACAATCAAAATAAATGAATGAAAATTTTGTAGTCGATGTAATATTAGAGGAATAAAAAAAGCAATTTATCACAATTCAGAGCTCAATAATATAGTAAAAAATCAGGGTTGGCAAGGTTTAGGACAGAATGGATTAATCCACGGTTTAAACCGTCCTGTCCAAAACCCCTTTGTCCAAAACTGTCCAAAACCCTTTTACTCAAATTATGTCACAATTTTATCTGAATCTATTTTAAGAGGTAAAATAAACATAGAACTAATAACATATTGATAATTAAATATACCAGAGAATATTTGTTTTTGAAAGTATAATGTTTTATTAATATTGTTTGACTCTTCAATTTAAACAAAGGAAGATTAATCAGTAATCAAGTTCAATTGGTCCTCTCATTCAATAGTACATAACTGAAGTTTGGCCTTGCCATACA